TGCCATGTTTGCTGTTTTTCCATTGGTTAAAGCAAGTTACATGGTGTGGTAGGCAGCTTCAGAAATGGCTCCCAATGATTCCTATCTCATTCTGTATTCACCTCCCATCATGGGAGAGCTGGACCTAGAGACTTGTTTTTAATGAATAGAATATGCCCCAAATGATGGGATATCACTTCTGATATTAGGTTATAAAAGACTGTGACACTCTCTGACTCCTTTCATGTACTTGCTCTGATAAAGAAAGCTGCCACGTGTGAATTGCCCTATGGAGAGGTGCACATGTGAAAGAGGACAACAACCAATGAGGAACTGAGACTCTCAGCCTAATAGTTCGTTGGAGACTGAATCAATCTGCCAACAACCCTCAGTGAATGAGCTTGGAAGCAGACCCTTCCCAGCTGAACCTTTAGATGAGAACGCAGCCTTGTAAGAGACTTTGAAACAGAGGACTTAGCTAAGTCATGCCTCGATTCCTGACCCATCAAACCTGCATTGTTTTAATTTGGGAGTCGTTTGTTAAACAATGCAACTAATACACTTAGCTAACTCAGAGTCAGTGTGGAAGGAAGCTATGTAATGGTGTGGTTACAGGAAGGGTAATTATAGAAAGTATTCTCCTGTATTTGCAAACAATTTACCACAGATGAACTTTTTTTCCAGCCTGTGAAGTTTGAGATAGAGTACTTTTCACTACTTCCACAATTATTTATTCTCTGTGATAAATAATGGGGACAGATGATGAATAAGACAGAGACCAGGTTCCTGCCCTCAAGAGCTTACAGTTTGTGGCAGGGGAAAGGATATGGGAAAAGACATTAACTCAATAATTCCTTCTGGGATGATTCATTTAAAGTTATAAGTGATATGAAGGGTGAGTGTATATACCATATTTTTCCATGTATAAGACACCCCCCTGTATAAGACGCCCCCCACTTTTCCAACCCAAAATTAAGAAATCAATATTTTAAACATTTTGCTGGTTTTCCTCTTAAGGCCTTCTTCGTTTTTGGCATCTTAAGAAGTTGTTCTTCCTGTTTTCTTCACTGTCTGATCATACACTGAGTGGAAGGAGATCCAAATTGTCTCTCTGCAGCTCTATTTCCAAGCTCTTTTGCATAGCTGGTTACACTCAGTTTGAATTTTGCAGAGTAAGACAATCACTAACTGGTATTTATCTTTTTATTTTTTGACATCTTTATGGACTCAGATGTTCCAATCCCTGTTGCATCTGCACACTCTCCACCTCCAATTATGTCATCAGCTAATGTCAGTAACAATAAGGCTTGTGATTGGAGGAAGCCTGTTTGACAAGGCATGGGCAGCTACGAACCTGCGCAGCTCCCTTCTCGGCGGACTTTCATGTATAAGACGCCCCTCAATTTTCAGTCTAATGATTTTAGAAAAAAAATAGCATCTTATACACGGAAAAATACAATAATAGTCTGGGTTGATCGAAGAAAGCTTTTTGAGGAAGTTGAACTTTTTGGGTTTTTTTTATACCACTTTAATTTACTTTGCATTGAAATATAAGCCAGAGGAGGCAATTCTGTCCCTTTAATGTGGCAAAGGTGGCGGCAGGCCTTCTTCAAATCCATGAAGTGTTTCCAAGGTTACTTTTCCAGGTCCAGACAGGCTCCATCTCAGGGTTGAGAGAAGGTTTTCTAGGCTGCTTCCCATGGATTGTTTCCCTAATTGCCAGCATTACCTATATTTGGCACAACGCGGGCGGAGATGGGTCCATCATGATAGTAGTCATAAATAAAAACTCTGAATGTCACAAGTTGTACTTTGAGGAGATAGGCAGGTGAGAAAGAGGTGAAAGGGGAAAATTCCAGACAGAAGGAATGAGATCATTAAAGGGAAACTGGAGAGGTAGTCAGCAGCTATAGGACAAGTTCATATTTATGATCAAATTGTATCCTATTATGTGACAATAATATTGTGGGTTATGGTTTTTAAAAGTTCCTTTAGAGGTAAATGCTAAAATATTTATGGATGGTGTCTGGGATTTGCTCCAAAATAATCCAGTGGCAGGATGGGGTCCGGAGTAGGTGGAGCTGTAAATGAAACAAGATTTTCCAAATGAGTTCATGTTTATTGAAACCACATGATGGGTACCTGAGGGGTTATTATACTAGTCTCCCTAGTTTTGTATGTGCTTAAAAATTTAAAAACTCATATCCCGACCACATCTCCTGAAGGTTGTGTGTGTTCATGTTTGAGGTCACATCACATTTACCTCTTCCTGTTGCACTACAGACAGTAGAGCAGTGGCTCTCAAACTTCCTAATGCCGCGACCCTTTAATACAGTTCCTCATGTTGTGGTGACTCCCAATTTCATTGTTACAAATTGAACATAATTAAAGCATAGTGATTAATCACAAAAACAATATGTAATTATATATGTGTTTTCCAATGTATTTATGTATGTGTTTTCTGATGGTCTTCGGCGACCCCTGTGAAAGGGTCGTTCGACCCCGAAAGGGGTCACGACCTACAGATTGAGAACCGCTGCAGTAGAGGTTAGTGACATCTTTTGGGCAGGGGGATGGAATGAGTTTTATATTACAGCAAATGCAAAGGCATCTCAGATTCAAATCACATGGCTATCATAAAACAGAGTATTTGGGTAATTTCCCTTGCCTATTGGCTAAGGTGCTATATTGCATTATTTTTCATGATCATTTTTCACTAGCTGAGATGGTATCATATATGGTTTTCTATATAGTAGAATCGAATGAGGTGGTTCACCTGAGAGTAAGAGCCAGCGAAAGGATCCTGTTTAAATATTAGTTACTGGAATACTGAAAGAATTCTGTTATATGGCATTATATAATACTAGAGGCCCAGTGCACGAAATTGTGCGAGCATAGCTCGCCACTGCTTGCCACCACTCGCCACCCTGCCCATGGCCTGCCACCGAGAGCCATGAGCCTCCCCGCTTGCCTGCCACCAAGAGCTGTGAGCCACCCCACCCACCTACCCACTCCCTTGAGCTGCAAGCCACCCTGCCTGCCACTGTGAGCCACGGTTCACGGGTGCGGGGGGGGGGGGGGGGGGGGGGGCCGGGGGGGGGCAGTGCACCTGGGGAGGGGAGGGACTGAGAGGTGGTCAATGCACCTCATGGTGACTGGTCGAGTGGTCGTTCTAGTTGTTACACTTACGATCCCTGGCCTTTTATTATATAGGACGGACAGAATTAGAATGAGTGTATGAGTTCAGGAAGGCAAACAATAAAGTAGCAGAGATGGGAATCCCCCTTTGAAAAATTCTGGGTCAGCTTGCTTCAGCAATAAAGTATTATGGATTTCTTTGATTACGTTTTCCTTTGACTCATGTTATTTTGAGGTGGGTCAGACTGTGGAATTAATAGCAGGGATGGATAGATTTTATGAGTCAGGGACAAGATTTTAGGATTTTTTTCAGGAGCGGGCACCTGGCGCTGATGTTGAAGAGACAATGCTTCATGTTTATAACTGTCTCAATGTTAAGCTATTGGGGAACCGTATTTTGAGATTTTGATTCAGCTCTTTCTTGAAAATAATTTTGCCATCAAATCGAGTCTTTCTCCAACCCCTAATAAAGACTTCACTAGAGGCAGATATATGCAAATTATATTTCCCTTCTTAAGCCAAGGCTAAATAAAAGGGGAAATTATGAAAGATTGCTTATAGAAGCAAGGATTTTCAGTGCTCAAAGATGAATTTGGTTATTTCGAAACCATGATGAGTCTCCTTGTCAGTGTAAAGTAGGAACAGAATAAAGTAATGGGGAAAGTGACCCTGGGCACAAACATGTTCTCACACAGCGTTTGTGCTAAAAGCGTTGTTCCCTGAACCTTGGCAATTACAGGCACTTCCCTCTGCTTTGAAAAAGGTTTGGCAAATGAGAGGTTCCCCCCTTTTGTGTTCAGGCTGAGTTTGGCTTTGTTGCAGGGAAACACTAATTCCCAACTGTGCTCCCCGGGAGCAAATGGTTTGTTTTCTCTTCACTGAATCCAGCCTGGGGTGGGTTCTCACAGGCCAGACTGGCATAGAAAATCTATTTGGAGCAGCCTGTCCCCAGGAGGGAAGAAGGCAAGCTGATTGTACCGGGGAGCTGCAGCCACCATGCTGCGAGGGCGGGCCTTAACACGCAAAAAAGGCACACACAGAGCCCAAGGCAAACACAAGTCCCATTTGTGTGCCAACACCCACATGTACCACACACACTAAACTCCACCCCATACACCAGGCATGCACCTGATATGCCACACACATACCACACACCATATCTACCCACACACCATGTACACACGAACACACACATATGCAACTATGCACATACCACACACACCACACACACTACTACACACACATACACACCACTCACACTCCGCGTTGGTCATATACATCCATGCCACAAACACATGTATACACACACCTCATCACACACACTCCACATAAGTCACATGCACCACACACATTACACACACAAACCCACACTCACACCGCAGGTATCATGTATTCATTTAACAACACATCCAACTACGCTCATGCCCGCCACACAAACTCCATGCAAAAATCATACATCGACACACATCACATCCACACCAAACTACACACACATTTTACATTCCAGTCCTGTGCACCACACATGCAACACATACACACACTCCATAGCATCACAGGCATCCAGCTTGGTTACTTTCCGCTCAGCAAGGCTGGGACTACAGCCCTAGGCGGGTGGACCCGGGTTGTTGCAGGCGGGTGCCAGGCGTGGGTGCGGGGCTGGGGTTTCCCGAGTGGGGGCTGGGACTGGCGGCTTTCTGGGCAGGAGGGGCTGTGCACGGGCCCGAGGCAGATCCTCGGGGAGTGTGTGGGTGTGGGAAGGTGCGCGCGCCTCCCAGGGGCTGTGCCCAGACACCCTGGGAGGTGTGTACGTGGGAAATGTGCGGCGCGCGTGGGGAGAGGCTGTGTGTGCATGAGAGAACCTCGCTGGCAGATGCGCAGGGATCAGCCCGCTGAGCAGCACGGGTGGGCGTGTCCTCGGTGCGCGCGGCCCTCCGTGGAGGGTGGGTGTCAGTCCTCGAGATGACCCAGATCGAAGGGAAGTGTGCGTGGGAAGTGTGCGTGTAAACTGGTGTGCGTGTGGAAACCAAGCCGCCAAGGCGTATGTGTATTCATAACGGTCCTCCATCGGAAGGAGTGGGTGTGTGGCGAGGACTCGCTGCGACTGGAGGGCGCGCCGACGCCCGCGCCCCTGCGCGGAGT